ATCGAGCTCCCTGCTCGGCGGGAAGCCTGCTTCTCCCTCTCCCACTCCCCCTGCTTGTGTCCCCTCTCTCTCGCTGTGTTTCTGTCAAATGAATAAAATCTTTAAAAAAAAAAAAAAGATTTTCTTTATTTGACAGAGAGAGGTAGCAAGAGCAGGAACACAAGCAGTGGGAGTGGGAGAGGGAGAAGCAGGCTTCCTGCCGAGCAGGGAGCCCGAAGCGGGTATCGATCCCAAGGACCCTGGGATCATGACTTGAGCCGAAGGCAGACGCTCAACGACTAAGCCACCCAGGCGCCCCTATTATAGTATTTCTTGAGGCACCTGGCTGGCTCAGTTGGTAAAGTATGCAATTTTTTTTTTTTAAGATTATTTATTTATTAGAGAGAGAGAGAGCACTAACAGGGGGAGCAGCAGAGGCAGAGGGAGAAGCAGGCTCCCCACCAAGCAGGGAGCCCGATGCGGGGCTCAATCCCAGGACCCTGGGATCATGACCTGAGCGAAGGCAGACGCTTAATGGACTGAGCCACCCAGGTGCCCTAAAGCATGCAATTCTTGATCTTGGGGCTGTGAGTTCAAATACCACACTGGGTGCAGAGTTTACTTTAAAAAAAAAATCCATAGTATTTCTTTCTTTCTTTTTCTTTCTTCTTTCTTTCTTTCTTCTTTCTTTCTTTCTTTCTTTCTTTCTTTCTTTCTTTCTTTCTTTCTTTCTTTCTTTCTTTCTTTTCTTTCTTTCTTTCTTTTCTTTCTTTTCTTCCTTCCTTCCTCCCTCCCTCCCTCCCTCCCTCCCTCCCTCTCTCTCTCTCTTTCTTTCTTTCTTTCTTTTTTTTTTAATCCTAAGAAGTCCCAGCAACAAAGTCTCAGCAAATCACATCAAAAACACCGTGTAAAATATAATATCTGGAAACAAACCTCATGAAATATATGCAAGAAATTTTACACAAAAACTAAAAACAAAACTGAGATGCCTTATGACTTGATGCATCTGCCAACATTCCAGAGCATGGGTGGTATTAGTGAAGAGTGAGCTCGTAGCTTCAGGAGCTGCTTTTTGAATAGTAAATAGCCCTGTGATGCAGGAGACATGGCCTTGATTCATAATACTCAGGGTCTAAGCTGTGACTGTTCACTGAGACTTGTCAGAGACACCACACAAAACCCATTTGTGATCACAGATACCTCCACAATGGGGCCTACTCTGTCCTTTGCAGCAGATGGCAGGGCAGCTTGCAGAACCCCGGCAGCCTTCTGGTCACCTAAAAATTAGGTAGGAGCAGTATTTTCATGTGTAAAATAAGCTTTCTCCAAAATCCAAAATGTCTTACTAAAAACCTGCCTCTTAGTGATGCAGTATCTTGACATTTACTTTGGAGGAAATGTCCCAGTTCTGCCCAAGGCCAAAGACTGGTCAACATTTCCTGCAAAGACTCAGATTGTACATACATGAGGATAATGTTAGGCTTTGTGGCCACACGGTCTCTGATGAAACTACCCATCTCTCTGCCAGTGTAGCACAAGAGTAGCCACCAGACAAAACGAATGGGCATGGCTGTGTACCAAGAAAACGTTTACAAAAAACAGGCAGCAGGCCAGATTTGGCCCTAGGACCCTAGTTGGCCCATCCTTACCCAAGATTATTAGACCCTAAAGACTTCCCTGATGTGGCAGAGCCCTGAATTCTTCCTCCCTCTAGCACACACATGTCCTCCTAAGGCATCCAGAGTACTCGCTGCTTTCTCCCCAACGAACCCAATGAGGAGGTCATCAACACAGTGATCATGGCAAGGTGATCAGTGTCTCTTTAGACTACTGTAACACAGCAGGAGTTACCAGAGCCCTGGAGAAAGACAGGGAATGTGTTCTAACATCCATGTTATGAGAAGGTAAAATATTTTTAAATCTCCTCCTTGATGCTGATTGAAGAGAATGTATTCACTAGGTCAGGAGCTTCTCAAGTGCTGGAGACTTATTGATTTGTAACTGGCAAGGGCACCACATTAAGTGCTGAGCTGTGTGGAGGCAATTACTTGGTTAAGGTCCTGGTCTTCTGCTATCCTCTACCAGAATTCAGCTGATGAACCAGACAAGCAAATTAAAAGGGCATTTGCTTGCCTTTTTAGTCTATGAGCATGGCCCAAACCTCAGACATGGCACTTCTCCTTATTCATGGTCTTGAATGGGTAACACCATTTGAGAGGCCAAGGGACTTGGCCTTTTCTACCATTATAGCTCTTACTTCACAAGCCAAGGATCTAGTGTGTGTGTTCTGTCAACTGCCTAGTGCCCCTTTATACTAATTCACTCAGGGAGATAACCTGAGGGGTCTGCAAACCTATTTGACCTACAGTGAAATGAACTTCACCTGGGAATCCATTTGTCACCTGGCCTTCTCATGTTCCCACACTACCAGAGATCTTGATTTTCAATTAGCTTTCTGCTCATACAGCCAGAGTAATAGCTGGGAGGAGAAAGCTGAGACCTTGTAGCTGTGCCTATGTGTGGCCCCTGGGCAGACAGAGGTCTATTAGCCTTCACCACAGATCTGGCCAGGCGAAGCCCTTATACTGCCTTTTGGGCTTTACTGTCTGCCACCATCCAGTCTCTGCTTTTCTGTTATCCTTTTATCCCGATTTTCTTGTACTGCCAACCACAGCTGAGAATTTCCACTAAACTTAAAATGCCGGAGCATGTCACTAGGACATTCCTTTATCAAATTAGAAGCATCTTGGGCACCTGGGTGGCTCAGATGGTTAAGCGTCTGCCTTCGGCTCAGGTCATGATCCCAGAGTCCTGGGATCGAGTCCTGCATCAGGCTCCCTGCTCCTTGGGAGCCTGCTTCTCCCTCTGCCTCTCTGTCATGAATAAATAAAATCTTTAAAAAAAAAAAAAAAATTAGAAGCAACCTTGTGCCCTTCAACAGGAACTTTTTTAAGTTTAAGTAATCACTACACCCAACATGAGGCTCAAACTCACGACCCCAAGATCAAGGGATATATGCTCTTCTGATTGAGCCCGCCAGGCGCGCCTTGACAGAACATTTTTAGCTGGTTTTTCCCACCTCTTATGCTAAATCCTACCATGCCCACCTGAGTCTGATGACCCCTTTCTCAATATCCAGCATCCCTCCCTCCTGTAGTTCACGATCTCCATTCCATAGTGGGGCATCTCCGTTGTGTCATGCTAAGTCCTGACCCTAGTTTTCTGTAACATAAAAATCAGCAAAGTTTTCTTGAACGTGCTAGATAGCAAATATTTTAGGTTTTGTAGGCTGACGCATATTTGAGATTTTCAGTATTTTTTACTGATGTAACTCAAAAATTTTAAGTACAATGTTTTATAGTGCTCAAGTCTACTAAGAATGGAATTCATTTGAGGAGTTGTTTTCCACTGGGGTTCCCAGACATTAGATCAATTCATCTGTAAAAAACCATTCTCATTCTTAGGTCACAGACCATGTAAAAACAGGTAGGCTGGATTTGCTGGGTGGTTTGCCCATCCTTCTATTAACAGTACGTGGAGCAGACTTTGACGAGGCAGACCTCATCTTATAAATCTCCTACCACAGGTGAGGCCTCCAGACAGTCTTACTTCTAGGAGGGAGCCACTGCCGCTAGCCCAGCAATTTCAGATAGTGTAGCACATTCCTCTGCATATCCCATCCCAGGTTCTTGGAGCCCACTCCTTATCTGGACTCTAAACCCAGCAAGGGAGGTTTTTAGGGGGCGAATGTACTCCCTAAAACTTCCCTGTCTTACCAAATCTTGGTCTTTCGTGGGATCTTACAATTACAGGTTTCATAAGCTCCCAGGTGCTCTACCTGGGCTTCTCTGGGTCTTCTTCACAAGCCAGGCCTTTGCTTCCCTCTGGTGGACTGTTGACTTGGAACATTGTGGACCAGTGGGATGGGTACAGACCCTGTGAACATGGCTTAGACCAGGTGTGTGATCTCTGCCTCCCTAGAATTCTTGTATTTAACCTAGTCTTCACATCTTCCTAGTTCAGCCTGTCCAAGCGCTTCTGGCATTCCTGGGCACTGCTGCTGCCCTATCTCAGGCCATCTGCGTCTGCAGAACACTGGTGGCTAAGGATGGCAGGTAAGGTGGGCCCGTGAAGCCATAGGAGGCTGAGTTGCTAGGTAACACTGTAGTCTACATAAATGCTTATTTAACAAAATCTTCAGGGGTCTAACCAACAGAGGATTGTCCCTTTGAAGTGATACCAGAGGGAAGACCTAGAAGTGGTGTGTACTTAGGATATCTGGGCTACATTCTATGGTTATTAAAAACAAGGCAGGGGAAGGGGAAGTTGGGGAAACGACCAATAGTAGCTTTATAAGCAGTTAAGAAGTAAAAACTCCATTCACATCTCAAAGTCTGTTTTAGTGTATACCAAAGTTAAAAGTGATGACACTATGCTGTGTGCAGAGGTGCCTGGAATTTGGACATTGTTCTCTACTGCTAGGTGTTTTCCACTTTCCAATTTGCAAACAAGTCTGTCCCAAGCTTTATTATGTGTATTCTGTAATAACCTGTAACTGCTAACCCAGGAGTGTTAGAGCTAGTATGTAAAAAACGTTCACATCAGCATATTTTATATTTTAAAAAAACTGAAACGAATTGTGGCTGTGGCTAGTAACGGCCAATGCACGTGGCACCCAAAATTAAGGATCTCTAGCTATGAGAAATGAACAGGACTCAGCATAAAATAAGGGATAGAGCAGGACATTACAAATGGCTGATAACAGCACTCCAGTCTCAAAGTGAGACTGGGCCTGTGTGCTTCTATTTTCATACTCTCTGGGATGTGTTTCCAGTCACCATTTCCACCACTCATATTTAACATTTTTAAAAATCAAACTTTAATTTAGCCTTGGTATAGGAATATAAAGGAAATCTCAGCTTTCATGTGCTAAATTATTTTGAAATTCACACTGAAATACAGCAGTATTCTCTTCAACCACCCATTCTGCTACTTTTTGGTGAGTATATAGTCGGTGCCAGTCATTGTGAAAAAATCTTTATTTTAAGAAAAAAATTTAGTTAACAAAAAAATTTAACAAGTTTCACTTAGCAAAATACACCCAAAAGGAAATCACAGTACAAAGAAAGTTTTAAGTCAAGGCCTCACCAATTCCTACAGTATTAGTAATGTGTCTCAATTTTCAAAACTAACTTATTTTTAAAAGCTTAAACTTAACCTAAAAGATTTTAAATGAAAATAAACTAGAATGAACAAACATGAGAAATGTTCCTCTTTGAATCAGGGATCTAGCACCTTGAGTTTTCCAAAAAAGCACGTCTCCCCAATGTATTCACGGTGATGTGGTGTAAAAGATCCATTTAATGTACTTAAAACTACTTTAACTCAGATAACATCACTCTGAAGTACACTACCAAAATGTTAATTGAGAAAAGCTGAAAATAGTTTTAGTTTACTCAATATCACATGCTAGAATAAAGTTTGCATGAGAAAACACTGAAGAGGTAATTTTTTAATCCAGATTTCACAAACTCATGGTGCAAAATGGGTCCCACAGCTTCCTCTAGAGTAATAATTGCTTTTCACTGCTTGTTGGCTGCCTGTGAAAATGATTGCAGTAACTCAAATGCTCCCACAAAACTAGTCATATCCACCCATGCTGTTCTGGCCTCCATAGCCAGCCCCGTAACAGCCGCTCACAGACTGGCTCTCAAGGCCACTGTAAGTGGACTGGGCTGACACCCCCATGCCTTGCATCATCTGGCTGCTATATGCCCCATTGCTGGCCCCAGTTGTGGAATTCAGGAAAAGTTCTATGTATCTGTGTTGCATGTTGGCCCGGTCTTTGGACATAGCTGCCACAGCTTCTTCGTGAGTGGCAAACTCGACATCAGCTTCGCCTGTCACTCTTCCATCAGGGCCAATCTCAATATGGACTCTCACAGGGTTGAGTGGAGAGAAGAAGTTGTAAATGTCGTTCTCTGTGGCCTTGTATGGCAGCCCTCTCATGTGGACGCAGTGCCCAGTGGTACTCTGGACAGTGAACTCGCCATCTCCGTATCTGTGGTCATACATGCCCGAGAGACAGTAACTGAGGTCTCTCCCGAACAGATCAGTGGTGAAGCCGTAGCCATCGCTGAGGCCGCTGTACTCCTCATAGCCCCCATAGCCTGCACTATATGCACCAGACCTCATCCTCTCCAGGCCCGCTTGCTTGACAATGCCAATGTACCTCCTGGCTGTGCCGGGGCGGTCATAGGGCCCCGGCCGCTGTACAGACATGAATTTCAGAGGGGGATCTGAGTATGACCTAACTTCTTCCTGACTGCTCTTGAACACTTCAATATACCTGTGCCCTATTCTCTCCTTGTGCTTCCCTAGGGCCTTCTCAGCTAACTCCTGGGAGGCAAACTGCACAAAGGCTTCCCCTGTAATCTTGCCCTCGGGGTCCACAGGCAATGTGATCCCGTTTGGCACAATTTCCAACCCTGAGAAGAACTGAACAATTTCTTCCTTGGTGCATCCAAATGGGAGTCCTCGAAGCCGCACGAAGCCATCATTGGCGGTGTCAGCACTGTTTGGACCGCTGTGCTTCAACACCCAATCCATCTCGGTTCTGTGGGATTTGAACACCTCAATGTACCGGTGTCCCATGCTTTCCCTGTCTTTTTTAAGGGCCATTTTTACATCATCTTCTGATTCAAGTTCAACAAAAGCCTCACCACTCTGCCTGCCTTCTCTAGTGTAGATGAAATGAACGCCTGCAGCCCCATCATGAATTGTGCAGTCAGAAAGGAAATTCTGCACATCCTCAACAGAGCAGGACCAGGGCAGGCCACGGAGCTTGACCACAAAGCCTTCACCTCCCTCGGGGCCCAGCATCATGGACACTTGAGAGGACAGACGTCAAACAAGCTTGGGTGCAGCTTTTTGTGGCTGAAAAGAAAGCAAAAACTACTTTACATAATTTTCCACTTATTATATACAAGAATATGCAGTAAATCTTATTTTCCTGATTTTACAGATGAAAAAAGAAGAGTAAAATATGTTAAGAAATACACCGAATACATTTGAGCTGAGATTCAATCCCAGGTCTCCCCAAAGATGTATGTATTACAGACAGACTGAAAAAGAACAAATTATGAGTCTTAAAAAAATAAACAGCGATCTGGAAGTTTCAGTCAACAAGCCAAGACCTATCAATTCTAACAGTCAAATTATTTTAAGTTAGAAGGGAAGACAAAAGAATGAAATAAGCCAATATTTAGAAATAGTGAGAGAACTTTTCAGAACTGGAGGTAAACATGAGATTATTACATTGCTCAAGTAAAAGGACATTTTCTTGTTACTAGAAAAAAGGCAGAGCAAATTTGTAACAGGAAATGCTCAACTGCACTAGTATCAGATAAAACCAAATTATTGACAAACTACCATTTTGACTCACCATAATTTTAATAAATTTAGTAATTCAGTAATTTAAGTATTTGATGAAGTCACTCCATGTAGCACTTTATTTATAAACTACCAACATGCAAAAGGATAATTTTGTAATGACTTCAGTCCATCCCCCTACAACAAATAGAATTCATGTTCCTCCTCCTTTATTGTATGTGCCCAATAAAAAAAGCCCAGGAAGATTAAGTATGTTTTATGGTTAATACTGGGTGGCTCAGGGGCACACAGCCAGGCAAAATGTTTCGTATTTTGGACCAGACAATTCTTTGTTGTGGGGAACAGGCCTGTGCGCTGTAGGATATTACGCAGCATCCGTGGCCTCTGCCCACTAGCCACCAATAGCACCCCCTCCCCAGGTGTGACAACCCCAAAGGTCTCCAGATATTCCCAAATGCTCCCAGCTGAGAATGACTACTGTAGAATCAGGGCCACCAACCTTAAAATGGGCCCTCAACACTGCCTACAGATCCACCCGCCTCCACTCTCCCAAAGCCCTGAGTTGTCTATGGCAACCTCAACTATTCTAATCTCCTACCTTCAACTGATCATCTCATCTGGTTCAAAGAATAGAGACCAAATGAAGTAACTACTACGAAGTCTAGAAATTTATAAACAAGGAGTTGCTTCTCTTATTAGCTGATATCATTAGCAGGATCACAATCCTGCTCTGGTCCCAACTCCACTCACCTAGAGAAATTATTATTATTTTTTTAAGTGGGCTCCATGCCTAAGAATAAGCCCGATGCAGGGCTTGAACTCACAATCCTCCTGATCCAAGGGGGTCAAGACCTGAGCTGAGATCGAGTCAGACAATCAACTGACCCACCCAGATGCCAAGAGAAATTTATCTTCAGTCTTTTCACTGAAGACAACCTCCTTAGTAATTAAGTATGCCCATTTCTAACCAATGCCATAATATACCTTTCCTGACATCAACTTTGCCTCCAGCTACTTGCTGATTTGCTGACCCCCTCAGTAAAATCTCAGAAGGCAGGCCTCTACTATCACCTCTACTCCTCACCATCCAAAGGGCAAGACCTCTCCTTGCCAAGAAAGAATTTTCTTATCTTCATTTTACTTGTTCCCACAGCAGGATTTAACCACTCCCTCTGGAAATCCTTTCTCTCTGGCTCCTGATGATGCATCGCATCGTCTCCTGGTTTTCTATTCCTTAGATATGTTCTCCCAGCTTCTTCCAGTGATTCCCTTTCTAGGCAGCCTCATTGTGATCTCCATGGTCAACTAGCCCTGGGCCCAGGACACTCAAGTCCCCAGCCTCAGGTTTCCTGAGGCCCAGACTGGTATACAAAACTCTACCCCATAGCCCCTATACCCCATAAATAAAAGCAGCATTTTCTCTGAAACTCTTCTACAGCACCCCAGCTGCAGATATAAATAGCCTTACCTGTCATCCTGAGGTTCTAGAAAGTGAAGTAATCCTTGGACAACTTTGCCCAAGCCCTCAAATCCAATGACTTCATTAGCTCTCTGGAGTGATTTCATTCACCACCCTAACATTCCTAAATCCTTCTCAAGAACTCCTTTGATTTCAACAAGTAATATAAAGGTTTCTCACAATTCTTTGCTCAGTCCCTAGCCATTGCCATGGCACAGTAAGAGCTCAGTAATTCATTCCTTTGTGATTTCAATTGTCAAAACCTTTTCTTTCTGCATCGCCCTCCTATCCCTTTCTACTTCCTCATTTCTAATTCCAGTACCAACAGCCCATGCCAGGATATTCTTATCTGGTTCTTAAACTTCTCCAAGTGTAATGGCTAGCCCTTATTGCAACCCAATCTGCAGCTCAAATGTTCTAAACCAACTTTGTCATTCTCCTGTTCCAAATCCTCAGTGGCTTCCCACTGGCACTGGAACACAAACCACAGAGCTAAGGGGGTACTTAGACCTTACAACTTTGGCCTACAACACACTTATGTAGCTTGCATCACTCCCATAAAAAAAAAAAAAACCAGCAGCAGCAAAAAAAACCCCACTCCTTTATTCATTTCTGTGCCTGGAATGTGCCAGGCTTTCTGCTCCCTGGGATTTGACCACACATGGTAATTACCTCCCCACATATACTCCACCCAACCTTCTGTCTAGCTAAATCCAACTAATCCTTAAGGTCTCAGCTCAAACATACGACCTTCCCACAAGACCTTCCCCTTCTACAAATTAAGTCTTATGGTTCTATGCTCCCATAGCACTCTTGCTCTGATTTGTTTAAAATGTGTCTTCAAAACTGCTTGGGAGAGCCTAGCAGGGACAGACTGTCTGTTCCACTGTGGCCCCACCCCCAGCACAGCAGGCCCAAGATTAGCAAGAGATTAACTGATGGCCATGCGAGAGGTCAACACCTCCCTCTACAATATGTCAGTCTAGGCTGAAAAAGACATGCAGGAAGCATAAATGAACACCAACATTTCATATAAAAATTACTTAAAACACCTCTAATAGTACAGTACAGATTATAAATGTTCTGGTTCAGAAAATAAAGTTCCAGAATCAAAAAGACTTCTCTGAAGGCAAGGTGAAGAGAATTCTTCTCTAAAACACATGTCTACATGTAAACTTTCATTGCTTATTTATACTCCAGAATTAATGTTCTCTTACATTTCTCACGAGGAGTCCTACTTGCTAACTCCATATTCTTCTAAACTTCTGATGGAACACAAACAAAATCTAATTTTAGGTGCAAATATAACTCAATATCCTCACTTTGCCCTCAGAACCTTCAACATCTGGATCCCTCGTGGAGTTTTACAGTACTTAGCACATTAACTAAAATTCAGTATTAGAGTGCTGTAGATTTGTGCTCCACATTAGATTTAAAGCTAATGACAAAAATCTTACTTCGTGTTAAGAAATGTCCTGCTTAAATATATCAAATGTAAACAGAAATTACTTTTCTTAAAAGAGCTCACCTTAAAGAACAACCCGGGGGGGGGAAGCCCACAGTCGAAGACACTCCTGGTAGGTAACGAACTGTCCTAAAAAAGAGTGATACGGCCGTCTTGCCTCAGTGCCCCAACAGTCACCAGGGCAACCAGGGGTGGTGGTGCTGTGACTGGGATGGACTCCAGCTCCCTTCCTCCTCCTCAGGAGAGGCAGGACTGGGGCTACTGGAGGCCCTTTATAGCCCTGAGACTTCCATTAACTAAAGCACACACCCGGGACTGACCCCACAGCATTTAAAAGGTTTACCTTTTCATAGGGTAATACAGGCTAACAGCAGGGAAATCTCTCACCAGCCTTGAGGAGACTTAGAACTAACTCTAAGCTCTGTGAGGAAATCTAAATACCGCGGGCGGGAGGGGCTTCTTCAGGGAGAGGGTGGAGCAAGGCCACAACAATCCCGGGTAGGGAAGGGACAAAAGGGACAGAAGGTGAGACCCCAGGCAGCATGATCTTTACTGGGATGAGCTCCGTGGAGTTGATTGCTAGAATTGTTCAACATGATTTACGATTTACAAGAAACCATGGGGGTGGGGGGGACGCGGAGGGGGGTAGGGTGGAGATACTCAACGTCTTTCCTTCCCAGTTTTATTTGGTAACTGCATTTCTTATGACTTGTATTTGCTCTGACTTTGAGAATAAAGGGAAGAAATTTTGAAATATGCTTTTCAACAAGAAAAACATCATCACTACCATCGCCCACAGCTAAGCGATGAAACTGTCCCCAAAGACGGACACGTGAAATCCACGGAACACGTCGAAGAACTAAACCACATTCTTAATTTTGGAAAAGTGTAACTGGGAAAGTCAAGTTAATTTCGTTGAGCGCGTCTTCTTAAAGATAAATTTGCCTTTACCAGCCTCCTGTATTACTACATTAGATACCATCTGGGTGGTGGTGGGGAGCCCGGTATAAACGTGAAGTATTACAATTTAAGAGTAACTTCAAATTCTCTGGAAGATGGCTTTCAAAAAGCTTCATCCACCCTTCCCCTGTGCCCCTAGAACATTGGAATCTAAAAGGTAGAAGGACCCAGGCATCTTAATGACTTGATTCCCTTCTATGGTTTACCCCAGCTCCTAGCTCCTTCCAGTGTGGTCTGCAGGCCAACATCTACGGAACCCTCCTCGGGCAAGCACCCGCAGGGGCGGCCAAACACACAGGCCAATTTTCACTAGACTGAAACGGGACGCGTACACGCGCGAACACATGCTGAAGCACTGACAGCACGGGTCTCACCGGAGCACTACCTTGCAATCGCTGGAGTGTGAAAAAATACTGCTTTTAGGTCCTGCACGTGGAGATTCTAATTTAACTGTAATTGTACAGGATGTGACCAAGGATTTTTGCACAACTCCCCCAGGTGAGCGCACTGTGTTGTGTGCACAGACCACCCATGGATGGATGTTGTTAAAATGCAAAGTTTCTAAAACAATAGATATGGAATAGGGCAAGATTCTGCATTTCTAACAGGCTCCTAGGACTCCTGCGAGGCTCACCTTCACTCTACTGGTTAGACGGGATTTAGTTCGGATTCAGGTAGATCCAATCAAGATAAACAGAGTGCGCCTCCGAGTGCCATGACTGATTAAGGTTTATCTACGGAGTACAAGGGCAGCTTAAACTCCCATCCTCTCTGTTCAGGGAGGGGTACTCAAGTGGGACTCTGGCTTCACCCTCTTATTTGTGCTGCAGTAGGACCTAAAGCATTTTCACCCTTATTTGTAAATATTCACATGCAGCTGGTAGCACTCGAGAGCCAGGTTGTCCTGGGTGTCCGAATTACTCAAAGTTCTACTTTTAAATCGAAGTGAGCAGAGACGCTTCCCCAGGATCACGCAGTTGACTTTTTTGCTCAACTTACCGCTGAGGGGAGCAGGACTGATTTCTATTTTCATCAAACAAGCGCGGTTTACAGCCAAAGGACCCCTAATTCCACCCGACGCTTAAAACCGCAGAAGGCTCCGGGGAAAGTCCAGGTGCGTCTCCTTTTGTTATTAACCTGAAAATGAAACTCAACTGGCTGCGGGCAAACGCCTCATACGAGGGTTGAAACTGCGCTCTTAAGCTCGCAGCCGCGCGGGCCGCCAGGGGCGCGTCTGAGCGATTTCGGCGGGAAGCACAGCGGCGGTCGCAGGCGCTGAGCTCCTCGGGCGGGGAAACGGGGACGAGGTGCTGGGGGGAGGCTCACTCGGCCTCTACCTGGCGGATGCGAGAGACCCTACCGTCTGCCAGGCCCCACAGGAAAAAGGGAGACCGGAGCGCCCCTTCTCGGGGGGCCTGGGCGGGGTCAGCGGGAGCTTCCGGGGCGGGGGCGGGACAAGCCGAGGGAGGAGGGAGGGAGGAGGGGGAGAGGCTTCCCGGGCAGAGCGGGAGGGGGGAGGGGGAAAGAGGTCACTGGGCAAAGGCTTCCCGGGCCGGGTGGTGGGAGGGGAGAGCCCGGGTGGGGGGTAGCGTACTGAAGCTGGGGGGGGGGGGGGTAGGTCGCCAACGTCGCCGAGGAGGGAGTGAGGTGGGGCCGAGTTCTCCGTCCCGGCTTCCCGGAGCCGCGGGGGAGGGGGCGGAGCTCCCGAGTCAGGGGGGGCTTTCTGGGGCGGCCAGGGAAGAGTTCCCGGGACCTGTGGGGGGCGGAGCTCCTGGGTCGGGTCGGGGGGACTTCCTGGGGCCGTAGGGACGCGGGGGGAGAAGAGTTCCTGGGGCAACGAGGGGAAAGAAAGAGTTCCCGGAGCGGGCGGGATGGGGGGGGGGGAAGTTGTGGGGGACAGGGGACGAGTTCCCGGGACTCGCGGGAGGTGGGGGGGTGGACTGGGGGCTGACTGAGGGTGGATGGGCGGGCGGGTGGGGGTCGTCCGCTCGCGGCAGCTCACCACGACGGGTCCGGAGTCCGGAAGGCCGGCGCGCGGGGCTGCGTCCCGGAGGCTGAGGCCGCGTGACTGAGGGCGGCGGGCCGGACGTGGGTCACGGGGTGTAAAGGAGGAAGTGCCACCGATGGGCCCGCCAAGATGTCACCAATGGAAACGCGCCCTGCAGGTGCGGCCCGTGGCCCGCGCGGTCGGCCCAGGCAGGAAGTGGGAGGAAGGAGGGAAGAAAAGCAACGAGGAAGACCGTTCTGAGTGAGTTCTCAGGAAGGTGCCAGGATGAGGAAAAGTCCAGAGTACCAGCGCAGGGGAGGGGTAGATTGGGACGATTTATGTGGAAGGAGAAACCGTGAAATTAAAAAAAAAAAAAAAATCTGAAAAAACCTCTGGAAGCAGGAAGAATTTACAATGGAAACTAATAGACAAAAGGCAGAACCTCTTTGTATATACATAACCTTGTTTTATATATTTGGCCATAGACATGTAAATTTTTTCCATCAATTTAAAAGATTAATTTTAAAACTCGCCCCAAAACTCGCAATTCTTAATATCCAACAAAGAATTACGTTTCATGAACCTCTGTATCCGAGTTCAAAAGAACAATCTTGAAAATAATTATTAAAGCAACTGCAGGGGGGCCTGGGTAGCTCACTTGGCTAAGCGTCTGCCTGCCTTCGGCTCAGATACGATCCCAGGGTCGTGGGATCGACCCGGCGTGAGGCTCCCTGCTCCGAGGGAAACCTGCTTCTCCCCTCTCCCTGCCGCTCCCCGTGCTAGTGCTCGCTTGCCCTCTGTCAAATAAGTAAAATCTTAAAAAAAATAAAATAAAATAAAGCAATTGTAATGTGAGCAGTGACTAAATTTTATATTAAGGAGTTTAAGTTGTAATTATGGTGCTATGGTTTTATTTTTGGAGTCAATACTTAAGAGATATATTTGATGTCTAGAATCTGATTCTGAGTGGACAGAGTGGGATTACAGATGAAACAAACGGGTGATGATTTAGTAATTATGGAAACTGGGCGATGGGTACATGGGAGTCTCCTTATACTTTTGTCTATTTTTCTGTATGTTAAATACTTTTAGTAATGAAATTATTTAAGAAAAGAAAGTTGTATGAATCTACTTACTAGAAATAACTATGAAATGAATAGGATTTATAGGGAAGAGGAACCTACTTTGGTGAGAGTATGCGAAGCCAGACTCTAGCAAAGGAGTTCAGTCCTTCATTACAAAATAGCTCCAAGGAAAAAGACCAAGTGAATACTTACTGAATAAAAGAAATGTAAGAGATTTATCATGGATTCACAACACATGGGGCATATTTGATTTTGAGTCAAAGTGATAAACATTGAGATTATTTGAACACTGACTAAAAATTTGATATTAAAGTTTTTTATATTAAAGTATATTTACTTAGTTTAGATATAGAATTGTAGTTATGTTTAAAAATAAAGGAATTACTTTCTAGAGTTTCATTCACTGGAAATATCTGTGGATGAAACAAGTGTGTTGGCTGGGATTTGTTTAAAAATTACTAGGTGGGGAATGTAAAGAAAAACTGTCCCTGATTGTGGAAGCTGGGTAACAAGAATCAAAATCCAGCCATTCCATGGAAAGTTATACACAGGCACTAAACACTCATGAATTCAAGAGAAGTTAAACAGTATTCTGAAGAAAAATTAAACCACAAAATTGGCTTGTTTTTGGAAAGAATTCTCTACAGAGCTGAGGTACCTTGACTACTTCATAAGCATTTATTTCTCTTCTTGAAAACCTCTTCAAAATATAATCTTGGTAATTTATATGATTAGTATGCATTTTCTCATTTTATTTGAATGTATTTGTTGCAGTTAAGTAGTTTTACATATGCCTTCTTGGCTTAAGTGGTTGATGACGCCGGGGAGGCCACGGTTAATAATTGATCGGCCATGATACGGTTCCTGCCTGAAGGAACAACCTGTACCAAAGACACCAGGAGCAGGTTGTGCTTAGACCTAGACCGTTGAAAAGAGGAAAGCAGAGGAAGATCCTCCACAGCCTTGAAAGCCTGGTTTGGTATTTTGTACTTTAGTCTAAGACCAATGTGAAGTCATTTAAATTGTTTCAAAATGAAATGTGGTATAATTTGTGTTTCTGCTTTTCAACAGAACAGTCTAGCTGCTAGCTGGAAAACAAATGGTGGGAACAGATGCATGGAGAGGAGATGGGAAGCAATGAGATGAAGTTTTAGGAAAAACTGATGGTACCCTGAAATAAAAACATTGTGGTAGAAATGAAGCAACTGTGCGAAGATTTGAGTGATGTGCAGTAGATAAAATTTACCAAACTTGGGAGAGTCATTCATTAACTCAGAAATATTGTGCACTTAAAAAATGCAGGCACTGTGCGAGATCCACAGAGCAGTGGACTAGGAAATCAATTTAAAAAATGAAGAAAAAGGGCTCCCTGCTCAGCAGGGAGCCTGGTTTCTCCTCTTCCTCTGCCCCTCCTCCCCGCTTAAGCTCTCTCTGACAAATAATAAAATCTTAAAAAAAAAACAAAAAACAAAAAACGAAGAAATACATGTATGATGACAAATTCTGAATGACCCAAAACTAGACAATGGGGATTAATTTACCCTGGGGCTCTGAGGAAGTGACATTTAAACAGATCCTAAGCATGAGTAGGGGTGGGAATGTGAAACTTTTTTCCCCAATAAATACATAAGGTATAAAAGGAGATTTTTAGAAGACCCTATTTTTGTTCTTGTTCCTTTGTGCATTATCCTATTTATTCCTCCCTGAATGCTTGTTCAAATTCTTTATATTTTTAAAAGTACCCCTTTGCCAAGGTCTGTTTTTGTATTGGTTGCTTTTTATAAATATTTTAGTTTGTGGTGAATCCTTTTTTTTTTTTTAATTTGACAGAGAAAGCACAAGGGCAGGCGGGGGGGCAGCAGGGAGAGGGAGGAGAGGGAGAAGCAGGCTGCCCTGCTGAGCTCCCAGGACCCTGGATCATGACCTGAGCCGAAGGCAGACGCTTAACCAAATGAGCCACCCAGGGGCCCCAAAGATTTTTTTTTAAGTAACCTCTACACCCAATGTGGGGCTCAAACTTAACAACCCTGAGGATCAAGAGTCGCATGCTCTGCCAACTGAGCCAGCCTGGCAACTCATGGCGAATCCTTTTAATCTTCATACTCAGTTCTTATTAAATTCACAAGAGAATTTTAGATATTATTTCCGCTGCTTATGTCTGTTTTCCACTTGAGGAGCCAAGATGGGTCTGGAGAAAAAGCAATTCCCTGTCTAGGGACAGTATATGAGCAGAGCCCAGACCCCTAATTTGTTATGGATAGTTTTCCTGTTCCACTGGAAACCTCAAATGTCTCTCCTAACCCAGCAACTCTATAAAGTCCCAATTCAGTGGCTCTTAAACATTTCTTGCTGTCAAATACTCGAGAATATGATGTAGTTCTGAACCAACTACTTCAAGAAAGCACACCCTCACACAGTTGTGCCAAAATTTCAAAGGGCTGAGGCATCTGAAGTGTGACAACTCTGACCCTAATTTGTACAAGCCAAGTTCAGTACACAAAGCTACCTCAGAGCTATTAAGGAGAAGCTGTAGATGGATCATTAAATATGTTATTAACATTCTAAATGTTTATTGCTATTACTACATTTTTATCCATCAAAGGAGATATATATGATCTGTATGCAACAGGAAAGCTGTTTTCCATTATCTTTTCATTATCGGGCTTTTAGTTTACATACTGTAGCTAAGTATGGGGTAATAATACACTTCCCCTCAATGTTCATTTCTCAAAAGCTGTGTTAACTAAAAAGCAAAAATAGTATGTGATGTTAGGTAAATTATATCTATAATGCTTATATTAAAATTGACATGAGGGACAAATTTTTACCCAACATAGAACAAGCAACTGTTGCTCTGTATTATTGATTGCATTCTGCAGGTGACTCAGGAATCAAAATCTAAGTTTTCCACAGAGGAAAAATTTTTTCCACAGAGGAAAAAAATATATTATCAGATGAAGTTTTCATAAAAAGAAACACTGCTATTTGACTTCCATTGCTAAAGATAAAATCTGTTTTCAAGTGAAGGAAAAATTCCATCATTTCTATTAATTGGTAGTGCTCTC